AAAGGCGAGAATATCCTTTTTTTTTTTTTCATTTTAAAAAAATATATATTTTATTGATTTTTTACAGAGAGGAAGGGAGAGAGATAGAGAGCCAGAAACATTGATGAAAGAGAAATATCGATCAGCTGCCTCCTGCACATCTCCCACTGGGGATGTGCCCGCAACCCAGGTACATGCCCTTGACCGGAATTGAACCCGGGACCTTTCAGTCCGCAGGCCGATGCTCTATCCACTGAGCCAAACCGGTTTCGGCAGAATATCCTTTTCTTATCTGGTGGTATAGGCACCCGTGTTGAAGATCTTTAGTCCCTATTCGGGAGAATTTCTATGTAGGCCTTTTATTCTGCCTTGCTTTATTATTTCTCATAATGTCTGTATTACAGGTTTTTTATTTCTTCGCTTATGATTTTTTTTTTTATTGATATCAGAGAGTAGGGAAGAGATAGAAACATCAACCAAGGGAGAGAATTATTGATAGGCTGCCTTCTACATGTCCCCTACTGGTAATTAAGCCCACAACCCGGGCATGTGCCCTTGACAGGAATCAAACCTGGGACCTTTCAGGTCACAGGTCGGCGCTCTCTCCACTGAGCGAAACTGGTTAGGGCTGTATTATAGTTTTTGATAATAGAAGCTTTGAAGTATGTTTTAAAATCAAGAAGCCTAAAGCCTTTAATGTCATACATTCTTTTCACGATTGACTTGGTTATATGGAGTCCTGTGACATTTATATTAATTTTAGAAAGAGCTTTTCTATTTCCACCAAAAGTGTCACTGGACTTTGATAGGGATTGCTTTGAATGTTTAGGTCACTTTGGGTACTAATGATAGCTGATATTGTTAGCATTGCAAAGTAGGGTCATGGAGTGTGTTTTCCAACGTACTGTTTTGTCATTTGATTACAGCCATCAATGTCTGTGTATATGTTGTTTTTTTTTTGTTAATCCTCACCCTATGGAGTTTTTTTCCATTGAGTTTTAGGTAGCGTGAGAGGGACGAAGGGGTAGAAACAGAGTGAGAGAATAAAATATCGATGTGAGAGGGAGTCATCGTTTGTTTGGCTTCCTCACATGTCCCAAACGGGGTTGAGATTGATCTGCAGCCATTTGCTGGGTGGCCCCATGCTCTAACCACTGATACTGCAGAGAGCAGCCATTAGTATTTTATTCTTTACAGCCTACAAGTCATGCACCTTCTTAAGAAGTAAACTGTTAATATTTTATTTTCCATTATGCTGGTAATCATGTAAATGCATATTTAATTTGTTATTCTGTTCCTCTACAGGGACACAGCTAACTTCATTGATTGGTTTTATATACCATGTTTTGAGAAATTAATTATATACTAGAGGCCCAGCGCACGAAATTCGTGCATAGGGGGGTGGTCCCTGAGCCCGGTCTGCACCTTGCACCCTCTTCAATCCGGGATACCTTTCACAATCTGGGACCGCTGGCTCTTTACTGCTCGCCTGCCTGCTTGCCTGATATCCCCTAACCACTCTGCCTGCCAGCCTGATGCACCTAACTGCGCCCTGCCAACCTGATCGCCCCTAACTGCCCTCCCCTGCCGGCCTGATCGCCCTTAACTGCTCTCCCCTGCCAGCCTTTTCACCCCTTACCGCTTTGTGCCTCAGCCCCTGCCACCGTGGCTTTGTCCAGAAGGACATCCGGAAGATGTCTGGTCTAATTAGCATATTACCCTTTTATTAGAATAGATATTTATAGATATCTATTCTTCTTTTAAAATATATTTTTATTTCAGAGGGAAAGGGAAAGGGAGAGAGAGAGAGAGAGAAACATCAGTGATGAGAGAGAATCATTGGTTGGTTGCCTCCTGCACGCCCCCCACTGGGGATCAAGCCCGCAACCCAGGCGTGTGCCCTTGACTGCAATCGAACCTGGGACCTTTCAGTCCACAGGCTGATGCTCCATCCACTGAGCCAAATTGGCCAGGGCAGGGGCTGTTTTCAATCTCACACGTGAGCACAGCGCTACCTCAGGGTCAGATGGCACAGGGTCAGAAACATCAGTGATGAGAGAGAATCATTGGTTGGTTGCCTCCTGCACGCCCCCCACTGGGGATCAAGCCCGCAACCCAGGCGTGTGCCCTTGACTGCAATCGAATCCAGGACCTTTCAGTCTGCAGGCGACACTCTATCCACTAAGCCAAAGCAGCCAGGGTATAGATATCTATTCTAATAAAAGGGTAATATGCTAATTAGTCTGGGTTGACCGTCCATCTTCCAGACGTCTGACTTCCTTCTGGACAAAGCCCTGGTGGTGGAGACCAAGGCAGAGGCAGTTCGGGGTGATCCGGCCAGCAGGGGAGGGTAGTTGAGGGCAAGATCAGGCTGGCAGGGGAGGGCAATTAGGGGCGATCAGGCAGGCAGGCAGGCAGGCAGAGGTAGTTAGGGGTGATCATGCAGGCAGGCAGGTGAGCGGCTAGGTGCCAGTGGTCCCAGATTACAAGAGGAATGTCCGACTGCCATTTAGGGATCAGACATCCCCCAAGGAGTCCCCGGTTAGAGGGGGTGCAGGCTGGGCTGAGGTAACGCCCCCCAAGTGCATGAATTTCGTGCACTGGGCCACTAGTGTGTATATATTTTCAGAAATGTGGAATTTGTGATTTGCAATACAGAATTCTGTCACCTATTAGCAGAGATTTTGTTTATTTTCTATTTTTTGTTGAGAGCATGGGAAGTACTTAAAATATCTTAAGGTTATAACAATGTACCTTAAACTCATAATGTCAATTGCATACAAATCTCTGCTGATTGCCATTTCTACCCATGTACCCACATAAGTTGATTTCACATTATCTTTGATGTTGTTTGTCTTATAGAAGAGATTTAAGATTTTATTTATTTTTTATAAATACATTTTTTATATATCATTTGGAGAAGAATGAGATGGGAAAAGAGAAAGAAATATCCACGATGAGAGAGAATCATTGATTGGCCACCTCCTGCACACCCCACACTGGGGAATGAGCCCGAAACACAGGCATGTGCCCTGACTGAGGATCAAACTGTGACCTGATTCACAGATAGACGCTTAACTACTGAGCCACTCAGGTCAGACAATTCCTTTTATTTTCTAAAGTTACACAAGAAAAATCAAAGTGATATGTGTTTCTTTAATATAACACCAAAAATTTTTACATTTCTGTATATTTTTCCACATAAAAGGCATCTTTATTTGTTCATATGTTAGTGTTGTGTAGAATTTTGAAATTACCCCCAGATATATATTTGTTATGGATTGTTTATAGGGCCAGTCTAATAATAAAAAGGTTTTGGAGCTGGAAAAGTTTTTTCCTCGCTATTGTTTATCATCTATTCTGTCAATATTCTTTTTGTATGGTTTTTGTTCCTTTATCAGTTCCTTGTTTTATTCGTGCCCTTTCCCTCCCAATAGTTTTCTGCTTAGAAACCCCTTAATGATCTTAGAGGAGCTGTCTTTTCCATGAGGAATTATTTTTTTATATGTTTTGAGAAAGTATTCTGGGACTCATGATATTTTCATTGTTTTTTCTCTGTTCTCATGTTTATATTCTACTTAGAAGTCAGTGAGCTGCTTGCATTTCTGTGTCACTTTATATAAGCTACCTACTCCTTTTCACTGTTCTGTCTCTATGGGGTTGCCTTGATGGTCGATTTGTTAGTGTCTTAGGAGTTCCTTAAATTCTCTTCACATTTCCACATATTTGTAGACTTTTCTGAATCAAAATTTTAATGCTTTATGTACAAATTTTTTTATTATTTCATTACTAATTTTTAAATGTATTTGTATTGATTTCAGAGAGGAAAGGAGAAGGAGAGAGAAATAGAAACATCAGTGAAGAGAGAGAATCATCGATCGGCTGCCTCCTGTACATTCGGGGATTGAGCCTTTAACCCAGGCCTGTGCCCTGAAGTGGAGCCAAACTGTGACTTCCTAATTCATAGGTTGAAACTCTACCACTGAGCCACCACTTGCAGGCAAATTCTTTGATATTTTGAGTTGATCACATCTTTCATTTATGATCCTACTGTATTTATTTTATTTTTTAAAATATATTTTAATGATTTTTTACAGAGAGGAAGGGAAAGGGATAGAGAGTTAGAAACATCGATGAGAGAGAAACATCGATCAGCTGCCTCCTGCACACTCCCTGCTAGGGATGTGCCCGCAACCCAGGCACATGCCCTTGACCGGAATCGAACCTGGGACCCTTCAGTCAGCAGGCCAATGCTCTATCTACTGAGCCAAATTGGTTAGGGCATCTACTGTATTTTTTAATTTGGGTATTATGTATTTCAATTTCTCCTTTCAGTGTAATGTTTGTAAAATATTTTCTCATTGTATTTTTATTTTGATATAATATTTTGGTGGTATTAAATAGTTGTCTTTTTTTTCTTCTTTCTGACATTAAGTTATTTCCCATTCTTTTTGAGGTAATTAATATATTTCCATTAATGTAGTGCCAGTTTGAATATATTTATTTTGTTTTCCTGATGGTACACTTTTTTTTTCATGACTTGATATCTTTTGCTGAGCTTCCTGAACTGTAAAGTAGCAGGCTTTTGAACATGCTTTTTCTAAGAAGAAACAAATAATAACCATCTGTGGGACAAATTCTACTTTCGGTCAACACTCTTTTCAGTACAGTGGGGCCTTGACTTGCGAGTGTCCTAACGAGTTTTTCGAGATGCGAGCCGTCTCTCTCAGCCGATTTTTTGCTTTTGAGTTGCGAGCTAAAATTCGGGTTACAAGCCAGCTTCAGATACTCCACCACTAATGGGCACAGCGAACGTCACACTGAACACCAAAACATCAGCCCAGAGCATCACGTGTCTCACTCGTTCACTTTAGTGATTTGACATACGAGTAATTTGAGTTACGAGCTCCGTCATGGAACAAATTAAACTCGTAAGTCAAGGCCCCACTGTATCTCTAGTCTTGCTTCAGTTGTCTGTTTAATTTCCCAGTTGGTAATGTTCTCTGTTTTCTTCTCAGACACGTGATATCTTTTCAGAGTTGATAAACATCTTTAGTACTTCAGTCTTTGTGGTGCTCAAACAATTTTTCATTGTTTCTTTGTAGCAGCCTCTACAGGTCACTTACTATGTATTGCCATTCTGTTCACACTCTGTCATGCACAACAGACACTTATTGTTCAAGATGCTTCAAAACAGGTAGACCATTGAACATGTACCTCCCTCATCTCTCTCCAGTGAAAAAACTGGGAATTGAAGTGTTTTTATAATGTTGCCATTGTGTGCCAGGGGGTTTGAGCAGGTATCATTGGCAAATGTAAGCAACCCTTTGTCCCTCCTTGATGTTAGTTTTCCTCATTGTACTTATCTTGAGCTTTCATTGAATCCTTCACTGGCTCTTGGAGTTCTCAAAAATGTTACTTGGCCTATATTGGTGGCAATTTCAAAGTGTACTCACCTGGTTATCAAAACTGAAAATTTGTTTTCTTTCAGCTATGTCATCTTCAGATGACCAGGCCCTTATGCCAAAGTCCGGAATACAAGATTTATTCTCTGAAAACGTACTGGTAAGATATAAAAGTTGTCACTTTGATAATGTATATTTAATGAAAACTTTGGAATTTCAGAACAGTGTGATGAGAAGAGAGAGAATTAATATAAACAAAACTAATGTGGAACTGTTTTCATAATAAAATTGAGGTTACCTATAGAGTAGAGGTTAAGTGTAGTATGCATTTGGGAAACCTTCAGTATTAAAATTAGTTACATGGGCAGATTAGTGTGTTTCTGCACATGAAGGTTGAAAACAACTTTTTACTGTTATGCATTCTTGGAAAGGAAATCTTGAAAAACTAGGAATTCACATAGTCTTTGGTGTAAATAGTCCTTTGAATTGTTTAAAATGTAGGGTGGGATTATATTTTCATGGAATCATTTCTAAAATGTAGAGATTTATAATGTGCCTCTAAAATTTAAATGTACTCAATTTGGAAATCTTAAATTTATTATTACTTTTAAATATATTTTTATTAAATTCATACAGATAGTGAGAGAGAAAGAGAGAGAGAAACAGCAATGATAAGAGAAAATCATTGATTGACTGCCTTCTACTTGCTCTCCCAAGGATTAAACCTGCAACATGAGCATGTGCCCTTGATTGGAATTGAACCTGGGACCCTTCAATCCTCAGGGAAATGCTCTATCCACTGAGCCAATCCAGCTAGAGATTTTATTTATTTATTTTTACTATTATAACATTTATTCATTTATTTATTTTTAAATTTTCTTTTCTTGTTTTTATTTTTTTAGTTTTATTGAAAGGAGTAGTGCCGAAACCAGTTTGGCTCAGTGGATAGAGCGTCGGCCTGTGGACTGAAAGGTCCCGGGTTCGATTCCGGTCAAGGGCATGTACCTGGGTTGCGGGCATATCCCCAGTGGGGGATGTGCAGGAGGCCGCTGATCGATGTTTCTCTATCATTGATGTTTCTGACTCTATCTCTCTCTCTCTCTCTCTTCCTCTCTGTAAAAAATCAATAAAATATATTTTAAAAAGAAATTGAAAGGAATAGCTTTTTTTTTTCAATGAAACATTTCTTGTACCCCATTATATAAAAATATTAATAATGGAGTTACTCATTTCAAATTATATTTCGGTTCTCATTTCATACTGTCACCTCCTTCAGTTCTTTCTGAAGGAGTTCGACAATATAATATAGTCAATCTTCAATTCTTAGTTAGAATTCTCCTGGGCCTGGCTGTCAGACGGGATGGAGCTGCTGTTACTCTTGTCTTTGCCCTACATGCTTGTACTGAGAGCAGCTCCCACTGTCACGCACCTGTCAACTCATCACAGCCTCCTCAGGAATAGCCCCGTCCCCATGGCGACCCATGCAGCCACCCCCACTATTGGCCACTCCATGCCAAAACTCCACCCCCTTCTCCCAGGCAACTGACAGACCTCCTCCTCCCTCCCTAAATTTTATTTTCTTGTTTAAAGTTTTACAAATATTAGTACATATGTCTCTTCCCCCCCCATTGACCTTCCCCCAGGCTCCCTTAACGCCCCTCCCCGCCGCACATGCCCTTTCCCCGCACCCCCCAGTGTCTCGTGTTCATTGGTTGTGCTTATATGCATGCATATAAGTCCTTTGATTGATTTCTTACCCCCCTTATTTTATTTTTATTAAAAAATATATTTTAATTGATTTTAGATAGGAATATAGAGAAAGTAAGAAAGGCAAACATCAATAATGAGAATCAATTATTTCTTGGCTGCCTCCTGCTTTCCTCACACTGGGGACCGAATCCAAACCCAGGGCTTGTGCCTGACCTCAAATGGAACCACAACCATCTTATTCATACATCAAAGCTCAACCAATGAGCCATGCTTTCTAGGCAATTTGGCAGTCTTTTAAACAAGGATTTTTTCTTCCTCTGAAAATTAATGTTTTGTATTTTTTGTGTATAATTTTAATAAATGAGGAAAGCATTTTCTATACAACCCTCTTGTTTTAATGAGTATTATAAAATGGTTCTTATGGAACAAGTGTACATGATTAATGAATTTATAACTGTCACTAAAGGCCTTTCTATCTCCCATTATCTCCAGAGTACATATAATGGAGACCAAAGTTATCAGTGGTATGAACATTGGAAAAACTTTAAGCAAGAGTCATACCTTAATAATCAATGGAGAAGCAAGCTTCTAGAGGACCATTATAAAAGTGGAAAAGTCATTGACCAAATGTCCAGTCACACTACACATCAAGTTATTCCTATTGTGGAGAAGACATACAAAGGCAGTAAATATATCCAGTCTTTTCAGCAGTTTTCAAATTACACTGAACAAGAGAATATTCATATCGGGGAGGAGGCTGAGAAATGGAATCCTTGTGGTAGAATCTCCAGTCAAATATTCAATCTAAATAAAATGGAAAAAATCCATAATGGAGAAAAAACGTATAAATGTAAAGATTCTGGTCGAACATCTAATTGGCCTTCAGGTTGTACGCTAAATCAGAGAATTCAGATTGGAGGGAAGTCTTACAAATGTACAGCATGTGGCAAAGCCTTCAAATGTCATTCTTCTCTTATTGTACATAAGGGAAGAATTCATACTATAGCAAAATTTCACAAACTGGGGGAAAATGGAAAAGGCTTTAGTCAGTCCTCAAGACATACTCAACATCATCGAAATCATACAGGAGAAAAGTTTTATAAATGTTCAGAATGTGACAAAGCCTTTACCCGGAGTTCAACCCTTAGTATTCATATGAGAATTCACACTGGAGAGAAACCTTATGACTGTAGAGTTTGTGGCAAAGCCTATGGAAGCTCCTCAGACCTTACTAAGCATCAGAGAGTTCATACTGGAGAGAAGCCTTATAAATGCAGAGAATGTGGCAAAGCCTTTAGATGGTCCTCAGATCTTACTAAGCATCGCAGAGTTCATACTGGAGAACAGCCTTATAAATGTAGAGAATGTGGCAAAGCCTTTTCACTGTCCTTATACCTTACTAAGCATCAGAGAGTTCATACTGGAGAGAAGCCTTACATATGTGGAGAATGTGGCAAAGCCTTTACACTGTCCTTATACCTTAGTAGGCATCAGAGACTTCATACTGGAGAGAAGCCCCATAAATGTGGAGAATGTGGCAAAGCCTTTAGATGGTTCTCACACCTTTCTATGCATCAGAGAGTTCATACTGGAGTGCAGCCTTATAAATGTAGAGGATGTGGCAAAGCCTTTAGATGGTCCTCAGACCTTACTACGCATCAGAGAGTTCATACAGGAGAAAAACCTTATAAATGTAGAGAATGTGGCAAAGTCTTTAGCCGGCCCTCAACCCTTAGTATTCATCAGAGAGTTCATACTGGAGAGAAGCTTTATAAATGTAATGAATGTGGCAAAGCCTTTACACAGTCCTCACACCTTACTTCTCATCAGAAAATTCACACCAGTGAGGAGTCTTATAAATGTAGGGAATGTGGCAAAATCTTCAGTGGAGCATCAGAACTTACTTATCAGAGACTTCACGGTGGATGTAGGGAATGTGGCAAAGCCTTTAGATGGTCCGCAGATCTTATTCCACATCAGAGAATTCACACTGGAGAGAAACCTTATAAGTGTACTGAATGTGGCAAAGCCTTTAGAAGATCCTCAGATCTTTCTAATCATCAGAGAGTTCATACTGGAGAAAAGCCTTATAAATGTAGAGAATGTGGCAAAACCTTTACACTGTCCTTATATCTGACTAGGCATCAAAGAGTTCATACAGAAGAGAAGCCTTACATATGTGGAGAATGTGGCAAAGCCTTTACACTGTACTCGTACCTTACTAGGCATCAGAGACTTCATACTGGAGAGAAGCCTCATAAATGTGTAGAATGTGGCAAAGCCTTTAGATGGTCCTCACACCTTACTACACATCAGAGAGTTCATACTGGAGAAAAACCTTACAAATATAGAGACTGTGGTGAAGTCTTTAGCCAGCCCTCAACCCTTAGTATTCATCAGAGACTTCATACTGAAGAGAAGCTTTATAAGTGTAATGAATGTGGCAAAGCCTTTACAGAGTCCTCAGACCTTACTTCTCATCAGAGAATTCATACCGGAGAGGAATATTGTAGAGAATGGCAAAATCTTGAGTGGAGCATCAGACCTTACATATCAGAGACTTCACAATGGAGAGAACCCTTATATATGTAGAGAATGTGGCAAAGTCTTCAGTGTAACATCATACCTTATCAGAGTTCACACCGGAGAGAAGTCTTATAAATGCAGAGAGTGTGGCAAATCCATTGGCAGTTCTTCAAAATTTATTTTGGAGAGGAAAAAAACTGCACAGCAGAGAGATGATACTGGAGAGAAGCCTTATAAATGTAGAAAGTGTGACAAAGCTTTTATTTACTGGTCCTGCTGTACTTGACAGCATAGATTTCATAGTTGAGAGAAGTCTTAGAGATGTGTGGAGTTTTGTAAGTCCTTGGCTAGTAGTGAGAACGTACTGTACATTACAGTATTCACTCTGGAAAGAAGCCTTATGAATATGAAAAATGTAAAAAAGCCTTGAAAAGTCATTCAGGTATTATTGTACTTGAGACACTTCCTAGCAGAGATTGACCTTACAAATGTAGAGAATAAGCTGGAGCCTTTACCCACAGCTCAAAATTTACTCAACATCAGAGATTTTTATACTGGTGGAAACCTTACACTGTAGAAAATGTGAGAAAGCATTGGCTGGCATTCCTCGGTTATTTAGCTTTGACCTATGAACTGCAAGGTTAGGGGGCAATTCCTGGTCAGGGCACATGCCCTGATTGCAGACTCGCTCTCCAGTGTGTGGCATGCACTCTCCTCTGAAAACAATAAAAATATATTTTGAAAAAAAGAAAAGAAAATGTGAGGAAACCATTAGTCTGTGTGTATTCCTTCCTGTATATCAGAGAGTTTATCCTGGAGAAAAACCTTGCAAATGTGAGGAGTGATGTTAATCCTTTTCTAGTCAATGGAGTCTTATTTAGCATCATAGAACTCATTGTGAAGGAAAGCCTTACAACTGTGAAGACTGAGGCACAACTTTTAATTACCATTGTCTTGCTCAACACAAGAGAGCTGGTACTGGAGGGAACACCTATTAATGTATTTTGTGTGACTTTGATAAAACAGTGGGGTTGCCCACACTGTGTTTCTCCTTGGTAGAGCGTCGACCCATGAACTGGAAAGTCAGTGCACATTTCCCAATCAAGGCTCATGCCCTGTTTGTGGGCTAGATACCCAGTAGGGTTTGCGCAAGTGCAGCTGATCGATGATTCTTGGTTATCATTGCTGTTTCTATCTATTTCCCTCTCCCTTCTCTCTCAAATCCTATACCAGTGATGTTGTAGTACAAGATAGGAGATGTTTCATACCCAGGATGCAGAATTGCCATGAACTCTGCATTTGAGAGAGGACACCTGTTTCCAAGCTGCACTCCTAAGTAAACACAGAAAATTAACTTAATTTCATTTTCTATTTCATATTCCTGTGTCATGTGTTTTTTTCCTCATTTTTCTACTCAGCTGATACGCTTTTCTGCAGTGCTATAACAATGGCATCTAAACCTCTTCTCTCCCACATCGGCCCTTCTGGCCCTTATAGCTTCTGTTCTGTACTTTAGAATTTTACTAATGCAATAATTGACATCAGAATTGGGAAGTATTTTCCTTTATATTCATGAAGTAGGAGGACCACCATTTATGTTTTCATGCTGGATTCTAGATTTTGAATATGAATATTAATTTTTGTGTACTTTATAACTGGAATGATTTTTCTTGTCCTGATTTTCATTGGTGTCCTTAAGAATTTCTCAATGTAATGTAGCCGTTTTGGCTCAGTGTATAGAACGTCAGCCTGTGGGATGAATGGTCCCAGGTTTGATTCCTGCCATGGACACATGCCTGGATTGTGGGCTCGATCCCCAGTGCGGGGTGTGCAGGAGGCAGCCAATTGATGATTCTCTCATCATTGATGTTTCTCTCTCTCCCTCTTTCTTCCTCTCTGAAATCAATAAAGGAAGAAAAGGAAATAATTTCTCAGTGTTACCTCATTAACTTATTTTTGGGGATGGGTTCAGCCCATGTTAGACAGATTTTATTGTCAGTTACTTAAATGTAGCTGGATGTTACCGAAACCGGTTTGGCTCAGTGGATAGAGCGTCGGCCTGCGGACTGAAGGGTCCCGGGTTCGATTCCGGTCAAGGGCATGTAACTGGGTTGCGGGCACATCCCCAGTGGGAGATGTGCAGGAGGCGGCTGATCGATGTTTCTCTCTCATCGATGTTTCTAACTCTCTATCCCTCTCCCTTCCTCTCTGTAAAAAATCATAAACTATATTTAAAAAAATAAAAAATAAATGTAGCTGGATATTGGTCATTCTTTCAAGAGGAATCCCAGAGAACATGGCAGATTTGCGGTTGAAAAATTTTATTACTTTGCATCAAAGTTGTTATGTATATTGACAGCATGACCACAGTTATGTTCATAGGCATTAGTTGCCCCTGCAGTGTTTTCCAAGCCGTGACTGTAAATTCCAGGGACAGCAGGATAGCAGAAATTGAAATGAAAGCCCCACATTTATTCCTTCTCCAGTGTACTGTTGTAAATTTGTACAAGCTGGTAAATATCAGTTCTTTTTCATGGGCCATCCCAAACGATCACACAATGATATTGGATATTCCATTTTCTGGTACTGTAGTGAGGAAAATTGAAGGAATCCCAGAGAACATGGCAGATTTGCGGTTGAAAAATTTTATTACTTTGCATCAAAGTTGTTATGTATATTGACAGCATGACCACAGTTAATGTTCATAGGCATTAGTTGTCCCTGCAGTGTTTTCCAAGCTGTGACTGTAAATTCCAGGGACAGCAGGATAGCAGAAATTGAAATGAAAGCCCCACATTTATTCCTTCTCCAGTGTACTGTTGTAAATTTGTACAAGCTGGTAAATATCAGTTCTTTTTCATGGGCCATCCCAAACGATCACACAATGATATTGGATATTCCATTTTCTGGTACTGTAGTGAGGAAAATTGAGGAGGTGTATTGGTGCAAAATATACATAAGATTTGTTTTTCATATTGTCATTCGGAAAATACAGAAGCAAGACATTGTTTCTAGGTTTAAACAGTCTTCTGTCTTCATTTTGTCCAGAATGCATGTGTTGTAAATTTGTACAAGCTGGTAAATATTAGTTCTTTTTCATGGGCCATCCCAAAGGATCACACAATGATTAAAAACACTAGATATTAGATACTCTTCTGTTCTACTTCCTGACATTCCCATGGAGCATTCCTACATATAAGAATCTCCTGATATTTTGTGACTGGGTCTCTGGATGAGGGGCTTTATGATTTTGTTCTAATGGGGACAAACTATTAAATCCGGATCATTCATAGGAATTTGATGTCACCTAGACAATAGTTCCATTTTCTGGTACTGTAGTGAGGAAAATTGAGGAGGTGCAAAATATACATAAGATTTGTTTTTCACATTGTCATTCGGAAAATAGAGAAGCAGACATTGTTTCTAGGTTTAGACAGTCTTCTGTCTTCATTTTGTCCAGAATGCATATTCTGCTTTGGGTTGCAAAGCTCTTAAGTCAGAGATTTCAACATATTTTATCTCATGGCACAAATGGAAGAAATACTGAAATTCAGAGGTCCACCAAAATATATATATTTCCAATCTGTCAAGAAAATGTCTGACTTTGAATTATGCTCACCACACAGCTATTACTGTGCTATCTGTCGTCACTTATTTTAATTTGACAATCTATGGGTAATGTAGTCTGTGGTATTGACTAAATAGCCAGGTGTTGCTTGTTCTAAAAAATGTTGCAGCACACCAGTTTCCTTGTGTGACACTCAGTTGCTAATCTCTGTTATCCAATCCATCTTGTCTAATGAATCATTTAAGACCACTTTTTCCGTGTGGACTTTTTTTTTCTGGCAAATCTATCCATTGATGTCAATGGGAAGCTAAAGTCCCCAGCTAGGACTGTATTAATTAATTTTAAAATGCTAATAACTACACACCTATCAATAATCACAATATAAGTGGGTTAACTTCAACCAGAAAACACATGGTAACTGAATGGATATGAGATCTATACCCATACTTATGCTCTCTAAATGAAACCCATTTCAGATCAAAAGACACCTCATGAAAGTAAAGCGTTGGGAAAAAAAGTTATTTCATCTCCACCTTTGGGCCCCAAAGAAACTGCTCTGCAGAGAATGTTGCTCTAGTGAAAGCTCTGATCTTGGACTGTGTACATTTAATATAGGCATGAGGAAAACTGTGCTCAGTGTTAGCTGACCCATGTGGAAGTGCCGCCTTTTAGTGAAGTCAGCACTTAAACAGTTTTTCATTACCCGGAAATTTGTTTTGGAAGGAAAAGTAGAAGGAGACATTCTACATTATTATCAATGGCCCATTAATGAGATAAGAGGGACTACTAAATAACATTCATTTGACAGTATACTCCCAGAATACAAAGACTTCAAAGATCACAACTTATTACCAGAATATATCTGTTGAATTAAAATTTCTCTCCCACAGTGGAGAAGGTACCTTATGTTATCAGGTGCCTAATCATAAATGGACATCTGTGTCTGTCTCTGACACTTCCCTTCATCTACAATAGAAATTAGACTTTTCAAAAATGAACAGCCCAATCATCATAAATAGCCAGGCATTCTAAGACACTGGTGCAGCCTGTCAAATGAATGTTACTCCTAATATTAGTAATAGTAATTAATAATAAGAGGCTTCTCTCAAACCGATATGTATGTATATTACAGCTATTAATATTACCGAAGGTGTATAAATGCCTTTAAACTACAAGTATAAGAAAATACACTAAATGCAATACACAATAAATAAAACCTTAATCTTAATAACTTATAAATTAAAACTAATCTATTGTGCCTTGCAAGTGTGGCATAGTTATTGAGCATAGAACTGGGAACTGGGAGGTCAGAGTTTCATTCCAGGTCGGTGCACATGCCAGGGTTGCGGGCTCCATCCCCCGGGAGGGGCATGCAGGAGACAGCTGACCTAGGATTCTCGGTCATCATTCATGTTGCTCTCTCCCTCTCCTTACCTCTCTGAAATCAATAAAAATCTATTTTTTTAAAAAAAATTGCTTGTTATACTTAATAGAGACTTATAAGACTTGACTGCTATCTAAGGTTACAGTCTTTCTCCAACCCCAATGGTCCATTATTTATGAAGAAAAACTAAGACTGAGCCTTCCCAGTACCAGGGCACCTCATTATCCTATAAAAAGTTGGCTCCTCGATACTTCCA